GCCCAGCTAGCAAGGGCAGAGGATTTCAAGCTGTCTCGTTCTGGAGGGGTAGTTGCAGGGAGCATCCGTGACCTGATATCATGCTGCTTTCCTAATGCCTGGTTGCCTCACCTAAGCTGTTCATATGAAAAACTTGCACTAGATGCAAAAGCTCGGTCAGAAGCTCCCATCACCAAATGTCATTTCATTTGCATCCATTCAGCTTCTGCCTTTTACCTGGAAACCTACTGCAAACTGCAGGCAAGGCAGAGCTAACTTGACACAGCAGGAAATTCAACCGCCTCTACCAGAGACAGGGGCAGCAATTTAGCACTGCATCCTAAGGAAGTGCTTTCACTATTGTCTTGAGCTGACTTAGAGACCATGCTGCCACCGAAGGGAGTAAATCAGATCCCCCTCCTCCCCCAAGGCTGCTTATTCCTGCCCCCTCCTTTGTGTTAGCAGTATAGGTCATGCAGCTTCTCGTTCTAGCTGGAAACTCAACCTGCCAATAGTTTGGTTTAGAAAGACCAGAGACCTGATCCAACTTGCTCTATGTTTGCACGAATACTAGCTCCCAGACAAAGGGTGGGAGCAAACAGCTGGGAGAGGACATGACAAACTGTCTCCTTTGGTAGCATCACTGTCTCAGCTGGATGAGACTGGTTGTAAAACTGCTCTCTGTGCTTATAAAACTGGCAAGCACAGGAAATAAAGATCATTACTGTCAGCTGAAATTGCAGCAGTGTGGAGTCAGAAGGCAGTCGCCCCCTCAACCCCACAAATTTCACCAGCACACCAGTGCTAGCTCCCAAAATCCTGTGAAAAACACCAAAAGACTGACATGACCAGAATTGTTTCTATTTAACTTGAAAATGCTGCTCCCAAGCATCCTGTAGTACTACATGTTCATGCTAAAAAAAAAAAATCATCATTCCTGTCTGATAGGATGCAAATTAGAGTCTCCCAAAGGAGTACAGTTGTTCAGTCTTGCAAGCAGCTTACTGAAGTTTTCATCTCAGGAAAGGTCTGCAGTGTGCGCTGGGACCAATTCTGCCAGAGAGGGTGTGAGGAGATTCTGAGCACTCTGCAGTATGGAGGGGACAGGTGTTCTGAAAGAGTTTTACTTGCCTTCATTACTCTAGTGATGCCCAACACTGAGGGAGCACTAATGGTGTTGGAAATACAGAATTTTACAACCCACTCTAAAACTGAGGTTACCTTTCCCCTCCACTGCCGAACTTGAGCAGCTTCATCCAAGCTCCCACTGAAAGCAATAAAAAAGATGTCCATGGCTGTTTGATAGGACCCAGAGATTCTAGTCTCTTGCAGTGCCAGTGCTCAACAGAAGCTGTGGTTGGTGATCCCATAAAGGCACATATTCCTTTCTGCTTGTGAAGTCAGGGATGGAATGGACTTTATTTCTTTGTAAAGCACAAAATAAACCCCTGACAACATGAGGAAAAGCAGACAGACAACTACTGAATTTAGGATTAGGGTAGGGAGTGTTTCCTTCCTCCAGGCTTTTGGACGAACAAAAAAAAGCTATTGCCACAGTGTAGAGAGTTTGCTTGTGGCTGCTTGAGAGGCTTCCTATATGCAAGTTCTTTTTTCAAGTTCTCTGCCTTAATTCTCCTAACTCAGAGCAGAAAGGACAAGCAGACTTAGCAGAAGACAGGACCTGAGGACCAGAAGACTCAACTCCTGTAAGCTTTTCAGAAGTTTCTCATTTTCTGTGAGGCCTTGTGGCAGAGCAGCCTCCAGCTCAGCATGGCAGGGAAGCGACTTCCACACAACTGCAGGCGATGCCCAGAGGGCTCTCACAGTCCTCTGCAAACCCCAAAGCATCTCTGTGGGTATTACCTGTTTCATCACTGTACTCGCCGTCAGGGCAGTCCACACACTCGAAGCAGCAGGTGGGCTCTCCCTCAATAATGCCCTTCCTGGTGCCAGGGAGGCAGTCCCTGCTGCAGTTAGAGAAAGGCACCTGCAAGAAAAGACCCCGATGAGGGTTAATGGTGGCAGTGCCCCACGTGCAGCCTTCCTACAGCAGGACCTTGGGCTTACTCCAAGGGTGTTATTGTTTGATTAGGTTCACCTCTTCCCTCCACAGAACAGATATATCTTCCACAATAGTCCTCCCCCAACGCACTGCAGTGATATTTGTTTGAAGGATCACATCAAGGGACGGTAGGGAGAATCAGCAGATCTCTGTAATATCTACTGTGCTGAGGGCACTGCAAACTGGTACGTGACCCATGAGACACATACCAGAAAACAGTCATTAAATGGTTAAAAGACGACCAATCTCTACGGGCAGGAATCTAAGTCACCCTTGGAGATGATGGGCTCTGACTGCTGATCCCCAATTCCATATATTGCATATTGACTGCTAATGATGTATGGGAATTAAAACAGTTCATTGAAGTCCACTTCCTCCTGTTCTGAAGACCCTTACCAACCCCGAAACAAAAAAAGGTAAATTAGCTGAAGAAGAAGAGTGTTCATATGAAAGACAAAGGCCCTGTTTTTAGAACACTGAACATGTAAAGATGCAAATCAGCAGCTGTACGCAGATCCAAAGGCTTCCAGACTTCTGCTGCTGCAAATGATGAGCAGTGTGACCTGCTGGCTGTGCATTTATGCTGTGTGTGAGCCCACCTGGGCATAGTCATATCCTGGCAGCAAGTGGTCACATGAGCATGCTCACTGCATGCCTAATGCACACTGACACCAAGGAGTTCAGCATAATAAGTGGAAGCCTGGGCCTTTTTTACACAGAAGCGCAACCTGAGGTTGAGCTCACCTTTTCCCATCTAAATTAAGAAAAGAGAGCTGACACAGAACATGGCTTTCTCAGCTCAGGGGAAACCCACTGTTTCCACTGCCAGCAAAGTACCATGAACTGTACATACTTAAGGGCTGTGCTGCTTAGAAGCCTCCATTCACTTTTTCAGAAGTTTGCTGTTAGTTTGCCCAAGTGATGCTAACCTGCTGAGCTCCTGTGTGGATGCACTTAGATGGTGAGCCCAGGGTATGGTTTGGAAATGGCCTGTGTGCAGGAATTTACCTCAACCACAGAGTAAGCAAGCCCTCAGTAGTGGCAGATCCTATGTGGAGATGCCCATTTCGTAACTCGGGTATTGGCCTGCAGCTGAGAGCAGTCACCGTTGCTTATCACTCTGAAGTGTACCTGCAGCACAGTTGGAGAACCCTGTTTCTAAGCTGTTAATCAGGATGGCATAATTAATTGGACAGACACATAGCCAGGGCAAATCGCTGCAGCTCCCCACTTGAAGCACTCTCTGCTGTTAATACCTATTGCTATTAATACAGTGTGCTGCTAATACTTATGCCTTGGGGCAGTCTTTCAGCAGGTTGTGCATTCACCAAGAGGACTTCACCAGT